TCGGCAGCTGCCCCCAGGGTTTCCACAGCTGCCGCCGGGCCCTGCAGGCCTGGGCGTTGGTTAGGAATTGAGAATGCTGGAGTGAGCTCAGCCAGACACCAGCCAGCCCCTACCCACGTGGGCACTGGCCGGGCCTGCGGGGCCCTGGTCCCGGCTCCCCTACTTTGCTGAAGGGGAACCGGGTTAGCAGGCTGAGCTGGGTTCCCGGGGATAAGGGCCAGCCAGGGTCAGATCCAATATCCTCCAGGTTCAAGGTGCCTCTGAGGAGACCCTTTCCCCTGGCCATTGGCTCCATGGGACCCGAGGGCCCTCAGCGGAGCCGGATCCCAGAGGCTGCAGGATTCCCACACGCTGGATTCCCGTTTTCCCCGATTACAGAGCACGTGTTGCTCTTATGGAAGGTGCAAGCAATACAGAGAAGAAACCACCGTTTTGCCATCACGGGAACCCTGTGTACCAGCTGGTTTTCCGTCGGCCTGCTTTCCGGCATCATTTCACCACCATCACGCAGGCCTGCCCCCCCGCCCCCTCCTGGGACAGCGGCACCCCCTCTGGGCACCTGCGGGGCGGGACGGGGTCTGCGGCAGCGGTGGGTTCCACAGAGGTGCTCCTCCCAGGGCATCTGAGTGTCTCCTGAGTCCGGGCCACCTCCAGACGGGGGCCACATGGCCCTGCCCAGATTGTCGCTTGCCAGGCCACCCTCCCAGGCTCCCACCCTCCTCAGGGCAAAGTCCCAACCTTACCCCCCACCCCCCACCGTGACCACAGCCCACAGCCCACCCTGTGAACCCTCTGACCTCTGGCTCTCTGCCCCAGGCCCTTTGCACCTGTTGCTCCTCTGTCTCAACTCCCGTCCCCTCGTCCCCTTGTTCAGTCGGTCTTGGTGGGCACCCAGACCACCCACTCTGAAGTGTCAGGCCCTCTTTTATCCCCCTCCTGCGCCCCCCACACCCCACCAGGCCCCGCTTTCCACGTCTCCATCCCGCCCTGTGCGCTCTCCGCCACTGGGGGGCGTGCACCTAGTGCTCACGCTGTCACTCAGGTTTCCTGAGCAAGGAGCCCAGCAATCCACCGGGAGAGGGTCCTGTTTCCACATCCCTGGCCCCCGGGGCCTGCTTGAGATCACTTTTCTGCCCCGCACGGCTAGAAATCCCTGGATTCCCGGTCAGGCACATGCCCGGGTGGCAGGCTGGATCCCCAGCAGGGGGCGTGCAGTACCAAGGATTCTCTCTCATCTCACTGATGTTTCCTCCTCTCCCTCCCTTCCTTCCTGACTCTGAAATCAATAAAAACACTTTAAAAACAGACTTTTCTGCCGTCACTGAAGCCATTAGGAAGTCCAGGGGCCCACCTGGCCTGGAGCCCCCAGATGTTAACATTGGTAAAGCGGGACACCATTGCCAATCCCAAAAAATGCCATTGTTCATTAAGTCCGAACAATGGTGGTCGCATTCTAACAACTGATCAACAATGCGAACTTTGATAAGCAGTTCTCAATAATCAGTTCTCAACAATTATTTGTTATTATTAAAGTTTAACATTATAAAATTAACAAAAATAATATAAAACTCATATCCTGGCTAAATAGCCACATGGTCGCCAAAACCCATATAATTCCCTTCCGTTCTCCCACTGTTCCTAGCTTGTCCTGCATTCTTTCCGAAAATTGGGACTTTTTAAAAACTCCATGGGACAAATTGTTAAAAATTGGGACTGTCCCATCAAAAGCGGGACGTCTGGTCACCTTACCCTTGAGGTGTGTCCCCAGCAGCGTGTCTGGCCCCTGCTCTCTCAAGGACACACTGGCGATGAGAACCTGGGTGCACGAGTATTAAGCTGAATCGGTTGTTACAAAGTTCAGGAGCTGGAGTGTCAGGTGGGGGCCTCACAGAGCAGAGACCACCAGGGGTCCCGTGGGTGTGTCCACGCTGTGGCCACCACCCACCCTCACGCAGGGTTTTGGGTGAAGTGGCATTCTCCGGCCTTTCCTGTCCAGCTGAGGAGGGCAGGCTGCTGGTCTTTAAAGCCCCAGGTGTTGCCAATTTTTAAAGGACCAAGAAGGCGAGATGTACACACCGGCCACACGGGGTCGCCCTTGGGCCGGCCACTCTGGGCTCCTGGGGCGGTGTGGGTGTGGCCAGGCTCACCCAGCCAGACATGACCGGCCACTCCAGGGCACTTTTGTTCCCCATTTCTCAAACGAGGAAGTGGGTTCCAGACGCCCCGGCTCCCAGGGGTGGGGGCTGGGGGTAGGCCGAGGGCCTGCCAGCTGGGCTTGGGGCGGGGAGTGGGTTTCTGATCACCATCCACATCAACACCTGTGTGCATCCTAATGTTCCCCTTATTATTCAGTTATGAAATGTCTAACAGGCAGAAAGACCCGCCTCCCCGCTGAAGAAACACCTCCACTCTCAGCTGTCCAGACTGGGGTGTGGGGTGGGGAGCTGGCTCTCACTTCCCACTTCCTCTCTGCGGGGTTTGCAGCAAGAGGAAGCGGAGTGAGTGACCTGAATCTGTACATGCAAGGCCTCGGCTGGGCCCGAGGGCAGCAGCTGTGTGGTGTCGGGTGGAGGAGGGTTGAGCACTGGCCCTCGGCGGCCGCCCCAGGGCCTGTCCACCTGACTTCCCGAGGAGCCGCCCTGGGGAAGGCTCGCGGCTCCCGCGCTCGGAGCATCTACGCCAGCTTCGTGCTGCCTCATCTTTGGAGGAGGGACGAAGGTTCTTGTCCCCGGGGATCGCTTTTGCAGTCACTAGGTTCTAGCATTTTCCTTGGTACCCGGGTCACCGAGGGGCAAGTCCAGGGGCCGGCCCTCACTCCCTCCTAAGCCTGGGCGTCTCTCTGAAGTGATCGCTGAACCCAAGTTCAAGTGCAGAGCAGGCGGTGCTGGCGCCTTCACCCCAGGGGACAGGACGGGAGGGGACCGCTGCCGACTTTGTCCTATGTTTGCCCTCGAGGCTGGGTTCTTTCTAGGGTGAACCGGGACAGGCACTGGTCAGCGTGACTCACAGGAGCTTCCTAACTCTGGAGTCAGCTTCTTGGACCTCCACCGAAACATCTCCTTCTGGGGGGCTGGGGACCAGGCCTGAGCCCCACCTCCAGCCCAGGCCCAGCCCCCTTGAAGCTGGCCTGGAGCAGGCTGGGCCTCCCAGAGGCCGCCAGTGGGCTTGTCTGCAGCCGGCAGGCCCAGGCCTGCGATTGGGGTGTGTTTGGGGTGCAGTTCCCCTAGTCCCTGGCCTCCAGGCACCTCACGCTCAGCACCTGCTCCCAGAGCCCTGCCAGGGACTTTCATCGCCGGAGGCCGATTCCCCAGACTCCATCTCTGTCTCCACCCAAACCCCAGCCCTTGGGGAACGGCAGGCAGGCCCTGGAGGGAGGAGGGGGCCAGGGAATCCTCCTCAGGGGTGCCCACCCTCCCCACCGCCTTCCTGCAGCCCCTGGGCCCTGCCTGCCCTGCCTGGACCCAAACCCACCCCTGAGGCCACGGCCCTGGAGAGCACACACACACACACACACACACACACACACACACACGCAGCCTCTGCTCAGCACAAGGTCCGGTGTGTGCACGTGTGTCCATGCGGGTCTGGGCGCTGGAGCCGAGGGCAGCCCCTGGAGGTACACAGAGGCTGCAGGGAGGGCACCACCTCCTGGCTCCTGGGCTTCTCTCAGGGAGGCAGCCGGGTCTGGGGCGTGAAGCTGCCTGGGCCAGTCTTGACTCACGCTCTCGGCCAAGCCCTCCCCAGCTACTTCCTGCCCCTCCCCCAGCTGCTAGCCACTGGGAGCCGGGAGCTGTGGAGCCGCCTCCCCCGTCTCTGGGTGGATTTTCCCTCTCCCAACACAGGGACCAGCGGGTGCTGTTTGTAGCCCCCGATCCCCGCAACCAGAGGGTCTGGTCCCCCAACCTAGGCTTACCCACCCAGGACCCACCGTGGCGGCCTGGTCCCCGCACTGAGGCCACTGGAGCCTTCCTGACCCATGAGTCCCAAGGCTGGGCCAGCAGATCCTCTATCCCCAGTCCTGCCGGGCCTGGGAGCCTCAGCGCTGTGCTGTGGGGCCCGCCACGCCTTCTGACTCAGCGTGTGCGTGGCTGTGTGACTCAGGCTGAAACCCTGCCGGAGGCTGTGGTTCTGAGCCTGATGCTGCTTCTGCGCTGGGAGTGGGGGCGGGCCATGAGGCAGTGGAATCCAGGAACTGAACCAAGACTGAGGTGGCCCCAGCCCCCGACTCTGGGTGGGGAAGCAGCAGGGATGCCTGGGGGCCAGGACAGGGAAGCCCTTGCCCGCCCCCCAGCCAACCTCAGGGCCTGGGAGCACCCTGGAGCCCCGTCTCAGGGCCAGAGGCTGCTTGCCTGGCACCTCCCTCCTCATCCTCCAGGCAGGGCCCCGGGGCAAACTCCTTCCAGGGGCCACAGACTCCGGGAGGACCGGTGGGGCCCATCCTGCAGGCCCAGCTCCTCACCTCGATCCCCAACACCCCGAGCAAAGCAGGGTGACCCGTCCATCTCAAGAGACTGCAGCAAGGCACCCAGGGCCACCCATTGAGGGTGCCACACAGCCCCTGCCGGCTCCTCCTGCCCCCATGGCCCCGGGCAGATTGGACCAGCCGGGGGACACAAGCTCCTGTGGGCAGGGCCTTCCACAGGACTTCAGGTGGGTGGGCACAGGACACCGCCCGGGAGAGGGGGAACCGTCCATGTCCACGCTCACAGACACAATGACGACGAGACACCGCAAGGCTCCAGGTAACCGGACCCAAGTCTTCACTTCCAAACTCAGCGGGGGCGGGGCAGACCTGAGGACACAGCGTGCAGCCCCGAGGCCCGGCCTCCAGGCTCGTGAGTTCCGCACCCTCCCGGCTCCTGCTGCCCACCCCGGCTCCTGGTGCAAGATGTCCCTCAGCCCGCTGGACAGGGCGCGGCCACGGCTGGTCTGGGCGAGGTCCGTGTGGCGTCCAGTTCCAGGTCTGGCTGATGTGGGAGCCTTTCCCCGAGGCCTCGTGCTCACTGGGGCTCAGTCCTGCGTCGGGTCAGCTCACCGATCCGCTGGTCCTTCAGCTGCACCAGGTGCTCCAGCCTCATCACCTTCATCTGCAGAACCTTGAGGGAGACACGCATTTCTCGCCCCGCCCTCCTGCCGGCGCCGGACAGTTCCAGGCCGAGCCCAGTGTCCGGCCGGCCGTGCTGCAAGGCCACACGGCCCACAGCCAGACCCAAGGCCATTAAGGGGGACCCCCGGAGAGGCCTCGCGGACGTCACGGGAGGGGGGCCCTCCTCCCCCGTTGTGCCAGGTTTACGTCTAAGCGTTATCAGTCAAGCGCATGTCCATGTGCAGGTGATGTGCTGTAGAATTGTACACTTGAACCCTATATGATTTCATTGGCCAGTGTAACCCAAGAGTCATTTTTTTAAATGACTGCCAATAAATCCTGTTTTATCAGGAAAAGAAGTTTCATGAAGAACAAGGAGCCACCGCAGCCTCCTCCACCAGGGACAGCACGTCACCAGCCTCCCCTTCTTGGAAGTGCAGGCCCACCACCTGCACAGGTGAGTGGGAGAGGGGATCTGAGAGAGCTCTGCCCCCAGCACCGTGTGCAGAGTGAGGTCAGCAGCGGCCGGCCCACACTCCGCCTGGGCACAGACCGCTCCCCGGGCCCACACTCCGGCGCGGGCCACCCAGGGGTTGTCCACACTACCGCGTCCTGACCACTCCCTCCCCCAGGGTCCACTCCCCGCCCTCCCCCAGGGCCCACTCCCCAGCAACATGCAGCGAAGGGCGGGGGTGGCCCAAGGCTGCCCATGTGCAGACTTCCTCGTTGGGCCAACACAAAAAGTGCTGCTCCCCACCGAGGCCCAGGCCCTCAGCTGCTGCCCCCATGGCCCCTGGGCACCTGTGCCCCCATTTGGAACATCCCGAATGGCACGTAGAGCTGTTTCCCCCTCCGGCTTTCACAAAGAACTCGGTTATAATCCACTCCATCAGCACACGGGCCAGAGCCCGGGGCTGTGTCAGACCTCCGGAGGTGGTTGCTTCACATCTCATCACTTCCTCTCTGTGTCCCTCAGCAAAGGCAGACCACACGGTGACGTCACGTCCTGCATTCTCGGGAACACAGCTCACCCAGCCCGGGACACGGGCCGGGAACCACCCTGTCATCACAGTTCCCGCCGGCCCCTTGGACACGGGCAGACTGCTGTGGCCTGCGCTGGCCCCCCCCCCCACACACACACACTCCCCTCCCACCCCCGTCTCAGGCCGGAAGCTGCGACCTGTCCTCTCACAGGGTGGTCTGGCAACGAGGGGCCTGCGCACTTCCTGAACTCGGGACCACTGCAGACCCTGGTGCTCTCAGAACAGGCGTGCACCCTCGGGACGAGGCCTGCACCTGGAGGACCATCTTTTGCTCCCTGACTCGGTCCTGGGCCTGTTGCCCATCACATCTGGGTAGCTGTCTGCAGCCCCTGGAATGTGGGCCCTGGGGCTTGGGAACTGGGGGGCTGGATGGCAAGTTCTTGGGGAGGGGGCACTAAACTCTTCTCCACGCTTCTGGATGTGTTTTGAATATTCCATAGTTAAAAATAATCAAGCTCTGGCCAGTGTGGCTCAGTGGGTTGGAACCTCTCCCTGTACACCAAAAGGTGGTGAGTCGGATTCTTGGTCAAGGCACATACCCTGGTCTGGGTGTGCAGGTGGCAACATTGACCAGAATTGAACCTGGGACCCTTCAATCAATGTTTCTCTCATATCAATGTTTCTCTCTTTCTCACATCCTCTCTCTAAAATCAGTTGAAATTTTTTTTTTTTATTAAGGTATTATATGTGTACATATCTTACCATTGCCACCCCCCACCCCACTCTCATACATGCTCTCACCCCCCAATTATTTGCATCCGTTGGTTATTCTTACATGCATGTATGTAAGTCCTTTGGTTGATCTCTTATCTCCCTCTCAGTTGAAATTTTTTAAATAAAAATAATCAAATTAAATGTGGGTTCTCCCTGGTTAGAGACCCTGCTTGCCCCACCCACCGCCATACCCCCCACTGTGGGTCTCAGCTGCACAGAAGGGAAAGCAGTGCCTCCCATAATGCCCACAACCGACTCCTCTGCTTCCTGGGGTGGGCACGGAGGGGCACCTCGGTCTCCATACCTTGACGGTCTCCTGCAGAATGGCCAGCGCCTGCTCCTTTTCCTCCAGCAGCTGCTGCACCCCGGTGTCCGGGTGCTCCCAGGGCCCACCGGCTGGGTCCCGCCTGAAAGGCAAACGCCTGGCCTTTAACCCGAAGGACAGGGCGGCTGGGGCGCAATGGCAGAGGGTTCGGGAGACGGGGGGCCCACCCTCTGCACGCACAGTGTCCCGTCTTCTCCCAAGCCCTCTGACTCAGAAGGGTCCTCACGCCGGAAGCCACTGGGGAGCTCGGCAGGCCTAGGAGACAAGTAGACACGGCTCAGGTCCCCGCAGCAGCACCCGGGGCGAGGCAGAGCCACACAGAGAGCGCCCTGTGGGCCAGGCCTGGCCTTATGCCGTCCCGAGGTGCAGCTGGCTGCCTCCGAAAGGCTTCCATTTGGACATGTGCCCACTGAACAGCCGCCGCCCAGCGTGGCCCCGGGACAGAAGCCGGGGGCTCCCACTCAGGAGGCGACGGCATCAGGGCCCCTCTCGGGCCCTCAGACCGAGGAGCTGCCCTCCTGGAGGCCACCCGCCCCGCCGGGCCCTGGGACACCCGAGGAGCCCTGCCCTCCCCTGTGGTGCATGAACGCGAGGGCACCACACGCCTGTCTCTGTGGCGCTGCCCCTTCCACGAGGCTGTTTCCCACACGGGGGGCCTGGGTACTACCGGCGTGGGGGGTGGCGGCGAGGCCCGCCCACAGTCCATCCGTATCCGCACCGGAGACTCCCGGGTCCTGCAACGGTTTCAGAGGAGGGACCGTGAGATGCGGCTCCGCAGGACTCACCCCTGACCGCATAGCCAACTCGCCTCCCTGCGCTTCCCAGCCACGGAGGGAGGGCCACGGGGAGGGGGGATGGCCGGGGCCGGCCTGGGGACAAGCATTATGAAAGGTGAGCTTCCCTGTCCCAGGTCGGCCAGGGGACCGGGGGCTTCATCACCCTTATTTTTTTTTGTTAATATATTTTATTGATTTTTTTACAGAGAGGAAGGGAGAGGGCCAGAGAGCGAGAAACATCCATCAGCTGCCTCCTGCACACCCCCTACTGGGGATGTGCCCGCAACCAAGGCACATGCCCTTGACCGGAATCGAACCCGGGACCTTTCAGTAAGCAGGCCGACGCTCTATCCACGGAGCCACACCGGTTTCGGCTCATCGCCCTTATTGCCTGCGTCCAGTTCTCACTGGCAGATCAGGAGACCACGTCCACGCGTGGCCGGCGGCGGCGGGCCCACGGCGGTACGTACAGATGCACCGGCAGGCGCGCCCGCGCCGGGCGGGTCCTCGCGGACAGCGCCGGCCGCCACCTTGTCCCTCAGCGAGCACAGGATGGGCTCGATGGCCCCCGGCGTGTTGGCCACCACCTTTCGGATATCGCCCTCTGAGACACAGAAACGCAGCTTGTGGAAGACTTTCCTGTGAAGGAAGGGGTGGGGGAGGCCCTCAGAGCAGTGCGCCCGGCTCTCCTCCGAGGGGACACGGGGCACCTGCAGAGGCCCCGAGGCCATCCCGTTCCCGGCCACCCCACAGGATACGGGGTGCCCTGTGGGTCAGGCCTGGTGTTCCTAAGTGTCCCCCGGGGATCTGCACGGGAAGTCACCTTCCTGCTTGAGTCCCCCTTTGCTCTGAGGAAGTCTGAGGTTCACCTCCAGTGCCCAGAGTCTGGCTTCTCACCGCCGCCACAGCACCCATCTGCCTGCAGCTGCTGCCATCACCACCACCACCCCGCCCCCCCGCACAGCCTCCAGAATAGGCCTCAACCCTGCAGTGCCTCTCAGCCCCAGGCTAGGAGCAGGGTCCTCAGCACAGTCTCCAAGGACCCCCTGGTGGCTCCGAATACAAGGACCCTCCCCCTCCAGCTCCTCGGGTCACCCCACTACAACCCCCTTCGCACCCACAGGTCGCCTCCCATCACTGTTCCATCACTTGCTCGGGGGCCCTGCCTCCTCCTCCATTGCACTCATCACACCTGACATGTGCCTTCCCTCTAGACTCATCCCCTGAAGGCAGAGGCCATGTCCGAGGTGCCTGGAGCAGAGCCCTGCGCCCTGATTGCTGAGTGAGAGGTGTGGTCGGACAGGCTGGACACACGGTCCGAGGTGAGTGAGTCTCAGGCTGACCAGTGCTGTCCTTGTGGCGGGGAACCCTCAGGAGCCCCCGGTTGATGGTGAAATTCTGACAGCCAGGAACAGGGATACTGACACGGCGTCAGGGAAGCCCATAGCGAGGAGACAGCCGGAGAACTTGTCCCGGAGACCAGGAAGGTGGGGGAGAGGGAGTCCCCCAGCCCCTGAGCGCGGACTGGGCGCTCCAACAGGAAAAGGCAGGGAGGAGGCGGAGCGCCTGCCTGTTGAGGGTGCTCCAGTTGCTGAGCTTCTGGTCCGTGTTGCAGGTGGGCACGTAGTTGTGCAGGTCCACGAGCCGCGGGTGGTAATGCTTCACGATCTCCGCCAGCATCACTGCGGTGGGCGTGGGGGTGGGGGGTACAAGGTGAGCCTGGCCCGCCCAGTGAGGAACCCCATTTACTTCCATCTTGTGTTCACGGACCCGAGGTGGATGGGGACAGGGAGCGGAGTCCTGGGGGAGCGAGTGCTGGGACCAAGGTGTGGGTGCTCCTGGGGCAGGGGTGTGGAAACTGGGCTGGGTTCAGGGGTGCTGGAGGACACCCTGAGTTTGCACCACCCGCCGCAGGGAATGCCGGACGGACGGAGGGAACTGCCCAGTGACAGGGCTGAAGGCACAGCGCGGCCTCTCCCCGCTGCCACCTTCCTCCTCCTCCTGGGGCGTCAACACCCCCATCTTGCCCGAGTCCTGCGCATCCCTTAGGGTAGGGTGACCAGACATCCGGATTTTTAACAATTTGTCCCGCGGCGTTTTTAAAAAGTCCCAATTTTTGGAAAGAATCTTTTAAATCTTTTGGACTTTTAAATATATATTTTATTGATTTTGTACAGAGAGGAAGAGAGAGAGATAGAGAGTTAGAAACATTGATGAGAGTCATCAATCAGCTGCCTCTTGCACACACCCCACTGGGGATATGCCCGCAACCAAGGTACATGCCCTTGACCGGAATCGAACCCGGAAACTTAAGTCCCCAAGCCGACGCTCTATCCATTGAGCCAAACCGGTCTCGGCTAAATCTTTTGGACTTTTAAAACCGCCGCGGGACAAACTGTTAGAAATCGGGGCGCCTGGTCCCCTTACTTTAGGGGCGCCCCTCACACCCAGCACTTCGCAGGGAGCCCGGGGAGCGGGGCACTTGGCGGGGCGCCGGCCCTGGCGTCGGCCGGCCGCATCCCGCCCCGCCCGGGCCGGGCCCTCACCGCCGTCGCTGAAGTCGCGGGCCAGGTGGCGCTTGGGCCGGCTGAGCGGGAGCCGGTCCAGCCAGGCGTACAGGCCGCGGAGCGCGTGGGGGGACAGCGGCGGCGGCGGCGGGGCCGGGGCGCTCGGTCCGGCGGCGCCCAGCATGGCTGAGGGTTGTTGACCGTTGCTAGGAGACGGCACCGGAAGGGGCGGGCTGCTGGGCCGTTGCGGGGAGACGGGGGCGGGGCCGGAAGTGCGGGAGTTTTGTAGGTGAGCGGGGAGGTCAGTGGTTGGGCTGCGGCCTAGGGTGCTGCCCGCGCGACCCTGAGTCATGCACCCCCGGATGCTCAGTTTGGGGGTGCGGGGGTGTCTTAGGATGACGTCAGGGAGCAAAGAAGGTGAAAAGTCGCCGTCCTTGTACAGTGTACGTTTTATTTTTAACAGGCGTCGGAACCTTAACTATTACACATTGAATCCCACGTGGTTTGGCTTCCTCCACATTCCACCCAATAAAAATCTCCAGTCATTTAAAAGTTGATCAATAATTTAATTGTAAAAACATGCTTTTTCTTAAATAGCAGGGAAACAGGAAATGAAAATGGAGGGGCTTGCAGCCTGGGGGTGCCGGAGCACACCAGCAGGAGAGGTCTTCCCGGAAGCGCAGCACACGGGCCTCCCGCCCAGAGGGGCCTGGAAGTCCAGAGATACCCATACGCAGGCCACACAGCCTCTGACCCCTGCCTGGGGGCCGTCAGAGCTGGGGTGGCCAACGTGGGTGAGAAGTCAGGAACCCAGCAGAATCCTGACCGAGAGGCCCCTGGCTGTGACCCTGGGATGCTGAAGCCAAGACCTTGGCCACAAGGAGGTAGCTCTTCTGCTGGGACTTTCCATCGTGGGACCAGCCCGGGGCGGCACCGAGGGCTTGGGCAGAGGCACTGCAGGGGCTGGCACTGGGTTCTTCCAACAACTTGCAGAGAGGCACGCAGGTGCCCCAAGGGGCATCATCTCCTTAGGACGGGGGGCTTCAGAGCAACCTTTGGGCCAACTCCCTTGAAGGAGGAAAAAAGAAAGAATAAAAACCACCTGCTACAAAGAGTACAAGTGAATCTTACTTCCTTTTACACTTATTAAAATTTAATTCTTAGTTCAGCCAACAACATGATGGCCCCTGCGCACAACAATAACAGTAACAGCGCCGCCGTGTTCATAGTGGACACCGGATAAAGGACAGGCTTTAGAACTTAGAATAGTGGGTGAAGGCAAATGACCAGCCAGTGGAGCAGCCATTCCTGAAAAGCCCTCTGGTTGAGTATGAAGCAGAGACTAGAATATACCTACAGCTGACATCTCTCCTTTCAGCTGACAGTGTAACCCTCGGGGCGGTGCCCTGGCCAGCCTGCTCCACTGCCCCTGCTGTGAACACTGCTCTGGGGGGGAGAGGAGGGGAGGCTCACCTCAGTGGTCCCAGGGTTGGCCCCTCCAGCCTTGGGCTTGACTGGTGGTACTGGGGGCACGGAGGTTGGCTTGGTCACCTGGGAGGAAGCAGACACAGTGTCAGTGGATGACACCTACCGGTACCTGTCCCGGCCTGGACACAGCACTGTCTTCCCAGGCGCTCTGCTCTGCTCTGCTCCCAGGGCTTCTCTGCTGAGCTCTCCACAGAAAAGTCCCGTCCCACCCCCGCCCTCCACCGAGGCCACCTGCAGAATGAAACCCGAACCAGCAGGACATGGCTGCCCTTCCCCTACACCTCCCCAACCTTACCAAGAAAAAGCCTTAAAAACTGCTAGAATGTGGGTCTTGGAAGTTCAAAACCAAAAATTAGGACTAAAATTGGCTTTTTTTTTTTTTTTTTTTTTTTTTCATTTTAGCTTTCCCAGGGTGACGGGGGTGGCACTCGGGAGGGAGGTGGAAGGCTGACCAGGCCTGGCCCAGCCGCACTCAGCCCTGGCCACACCCCCTAGCATCCAGGAGGCCTCGGTGGGCCCAGCATCTGTCGTTTCTGATAACCCAGAAGGACCGTACTGAGCAGCCAGTTCCTCCTAGCCTCTGCCTGGCTATCTCCACTTCCTGGGCCAGAAATCTCTGCCCACCCTGGCCCCCTTCTGGCTGGTCAAAACCCCTCCTTAGACCATCTTTGTAACTCTCTGTAAATCTAACATTAGTTCTAAATAAAAAGCTTAAAAAGAAAGCAATAGAGAACATCTATTAAGCAAGCACCACGTGAAGGCTGTTGTAGGGAGATCCACGTGGGTCAGTTTAAAAATTAATAGAGCCCTGGCCAGTGTGGTAAGAGGTTAGAGTGTTGGGCCACACACGTAAGGGTCACAGCCTGGATTGGGGAACGTGGGGAAGGTAACCACTCGATGTGTCTCTCTCACACTGATGTTTCTCTCTCTCTCACCCTTCCTCCCTCCCTTCCACTCTCCCTAAAAATCCCTCTGGTGAAGGTTAACAACAAAAAGGTTATATGAATTGCATCTCTCAAAGCACCTCCAAGATATCAAGGCCACAGGGAGAAACCTATATGAGTCAACATCTTGGGTTAATGACAGACAGGCGGACAACAGGACACCTGGCGGGTGGAGCCTGTCCCAGGAGAGGTGGTGACGGTGGAGAAAGCCTGGCCGTTCCTGCCACCCCCACTTTGTCAGAAGCACAGGCTGGGATTGGTCCAGGGCCAAGGTGGGTGGTGAGAGTGACGCTGGAGTAAGCCTAAAGGTGGTCAGGCCAGCAGGGGGCACTCCAGAGAAGAACACCCCACACTCGCCTGTGAGGTTTGGGTTGCAGGAAGGTGGGGGGTCTGGCCAGAGGGGAAGGGAACAGGCATAGCCAAGGGGGGTCTACTGAGTGGCCAAGGGGCCAGGTCCTCTCACCTGCTTGGGCTTCCGCTCCGGTAGGGGCTTGGTGGGAGGAGGAGGTCTGAGCTGGAGGGAGGAAGAGCCAGGACCCCAGGCCCCGGGTTAATGTCCTCACTGGGCCCAGGTGACCAGCCTTCTGAAAGTGGGGCGGCCGCACCCTGGGGTCCCAGACTCCCAAACCCATCCCTTGGGCCCCCACCTCCTGGGACCCCATTTTCGCCATTTACACTGCCTGGTTGGGGGCCCTACTCACCTGGGCCGGGGCCTGCGGGGTGTACATGGGAACTGGGAAGGGTGTTCTGGACATGGCGGCTGGAGGCTGGAGGGAACAGGGTCGTGAGCCTGGATCGCCCCTCGCTGTCACCCCAGCCGCCCAGCTCAGGACCTGAGGCTTCCGCCCCTCCCAGAGGGAGACTAAAGCTCCAGGTGTGCATTTGGCAGCTCTGCCCCACCACCAGCAGGGCCCACAGCCCGGATGGGACCCGCACGTTCCCTTTGCTCAGCCGGGTGAACGCTCTGAGGCGCTGGGGGGCAACAGAGGGAGACGGGCCCTCTAAACTGTCTCAGGCCCTGCAGAGCCCTCGAGCCTGATTCAAGTTCAATGGCCAATTCTGTCATCAGTTCGTGTGGGTCCTCAGACCCCCATCCTCAAGCCTCCTTCCCGCCTTCCCCCAGGGCGGCCATGGCTGCCGCTCTAGGCCCTGGTGGAGCCCTGGCCCCGGGACTAGGTGGCCTGGGGACCGGCTGGTGCTTACAGCAGGGGGGGGCCGTTGAGGGGTCACTGTGGGAGCCGTGGGCCGGGGGGGCGGGCCAGAGTGGACGGTAGGCACGGTGGGGGCCGGAGCTGGCCTGAAGCCCCCCTCTCGGAACAGGGGGTTGGATCGCCCCAGGGCGGTCTTGGGTGTCTTGTTCCTGCCAAGAAAGTAAGATGAGTCAGTGCATCCCGGCCTCTGGGTCCCCTGAGTACGAGGCCCCCTGGCCTGGCCAGGTACCTCGCAGCTGCCTCAGTCCCTGCCCCCCCCCACAGGGGGCGCCAGTCACAGCCACTCGGAAAGGGGAGGCAGCCTCGTGGGTGTTTTCCTGCAGCCGCATGGGGTCCAGGTCCCGACAGGGTGGGCAGCTGGTGAGCCCATGCTATCCCCAAAGTGCCCACGCCTACCAGGGTCAGGTGTGCGTGGGGGTCCGCAACCATCTCTGGGCTCACCACATCCCCCACTGTCACCAAATCTGTCACCTGTTCCCGCCCCACGAGAGGCGCTGGGGACCCGCTGTGGTTCTCTCCTTCCTCCCAGGGCCGTTTCCCAACAGGAGGAGGGGATGTGCCTGTTGCACGGGGATGTGGAGCAACCAGGGCGCGCTCACCTCCCTCGGATGTGGCTCCCGGCCTTGCGGTAGACAACCACGCCCAGCACAGCGAGCGCCAGGGCCACCAGGAGCAGCACGGGCACCAGCACGCTGGGCAGGAGGCTCCCGGATGCTGTGGGGAGCATGAGACCAGGGGTCAGTGGGGCCATGGGAGTTGAGAGGGCAGACAGGGGCGTTTCTGGGGCCCCTTCCTGACTGGAGCCCTGGCCCCTTCCTTGCAGCCACACACCCATCCGAAGACCCGTCTCCTGTGGGGCTGAGTGGGGGTTACTGGCTCTAGGCCCTACCCTAGACCGGTGAGGTCAGGATGCCCAGGCCTGCAAGTCTGACGCTTTAACATCGCACCAGTGGTTTGGGGGCTCGCAGCTTCCTTCTCACTGCCCAGGGGGTCCCGTCCTGCTGCCCATCGGGCTGTGAGGGTGGGAAGGCCCAGGGCCGCCGGGCTCTCACCTGTGTGCAGCTCGGCCCGCAGCTCTGTGCAGTGCGGTGGGGCCCAGCCCGGCTGGCAGTGGCACTTCCCCTTGTGGTTGCACACCTGTGGGATAGCCAGGCGTCAGGGATGGGCCCCGGACCCTGCCTGTGCCCATGCCACATCGCCCGGTGCCCACACAGGAGTCCCCAGGCCAGCCGAGGCCCGTGAGGGCTCTGCCGTGACTGACGGGGACAGGCTGGGCTTGTCCAGGGACCTGGCTCCTACGTCCAGGCGTCCCTGGCCGACACACACGCTGACGGCAGCAGCCCAGCCCATGTGTCCACGGGCATCACCACTTCCGGAACTCAGGATCCACCCGGGGCCCACGGATCCTCGCCAGCTCCAGGCCTCCGCCCTCTGTCCCCCCAGGCACGCCCTGAGCGTGGCCCACTGCCTCCTTCCCACGAGGGCCCACGCACCCCATGGCCGTTGCACTGGGCAGAGCAGTTTCTGGAGCGGTACACGTGGAAGTCCCGGCACAGTCCTTTCCAACACACCTGGAAGGCAGGGGGGTCTCATTAGGCAGGCGGTCTCCACCCCTGACCCCCGCTCTGCCCCAGCAGTGGACGGAAGCCCCCCCCGGAACCTGCCGGTGAGCTTCAGGGGGCAGGCCGCGGCCACCGCGCCACCACGGCCAGGCTGGCCCGGTCTGCAGCCCTTCTGCTGGCAGGCGGGCCACCAGGGGCACTGAGAACTGGCCCCCACCCTGGCCTCTGGGGGGACGTGCAGACGGGAAGGTCTTCAAATCATACTAGCCTTGCTTGGGACCACCTGAGTGTGCATGTGGGACACACGTCGGGGACACGGAGTCCTTCGGGGGCACAGCCAGGCGTGTGTCCGGTCACTCACCCGCTCATCGCCGCACTTGGTGCCTTCCAGCACCCGCTCGAACTCAGAGCTACCGTCCAGGTTCAGAGCCTGGCACGAGGCTGAGCCGGAGGTGAAGGAGCAGGAGCCCCGCTCTGGAGGCTTCTGCCCGCCATTGCAGAGCAGGAACTCGCACCCGGCCCTGCGAACAGAGAGCCGCGTGGTTGCCTGCTCCGTGCACGCTGCCGTGCTGTGGGGACCCAGGGGGCTGCCAGGAGACGAGGCCCAGGACCCCGGCACGGGCTGTGGGGTTCACTGATGGGGCATCCACCCGCCTCCCCCGAGGGCAGGGCCGTCAGGCCTGGCGGTCCTGGAAGGTAGGGTGGGCCCTTCCCGCTCTGTGCAGAGGACTTTCTTGGGAGACCCCACCTGTGGGGACATCCCGGAGCCGAGGGGGGGGGGGCGGGGTGAGGGGGAGGGCGGGGCGGGGCAGGACACTCACCTGTCGGCACTAAGGTGGACCGTGCCCCTGCAGCCCGGCGAGATGCTGTGGGAATAGCACATCTCCGAGGCAACCCGTGCACCTGCAGGCAGGAGCAGGTGAGCCCTCCAGCGGGGGGCCCGCAGCCGCCCCCCGGCCGGTGGGCCCCCCGCCGCCCGCCTCACCTGGCCCCCACAGGTCCTGGCACCGCTGGGCCCGCGTGGGGCAGGCCCCGTTGTAGCAGTAGCCGCCCCGGCAGGGCGTGCCGTTCTCCCGGAAGGCGTCCTCCGGGCAGGAGGGCCGCTGGCCGTCGCAATACTCCTCCAGGTCGCAGGCGTCCTTGCTGGGGCGGCACAGCTTGCCGGCCGGCTTCACCTGGCCCAAGAGCGAAGCTCACCATGGGGACAGCAGGCCCAGGCTGCTCCATCCCCACCATCCCCGGGGCCCCTCCCTGCCCGCTGCCCCGGGGGCACAGCCGGGCTGGGTCCAGAAGGGGCCCTGTGCTCACCCTGCACTCGTGGCAGCAGGGACCATGGGCACACTCGGCCCCCTCGGCCAGCTGGCAGGTGGTGGTGTTGCAGCAGTGGTTCTGACAGTCCTGGGGGATGGACGGGGCAATGCCGAAGGTGTGAAGGCACCTGCCCCAGTGGCCGTGGGGCCCACCTCCCTCCATGACCCCCCATCAGGGCCGGGGCCTTCCCACAGAACCCCTGCAGGTGGACGGGGTGTCAGAAGGTAGGGGTGAGTTCTGACTGGCCATGGGCATGCAGGGCGCTGGGCGGGTCAGGAAGGACGCTGTAACCTGGGGGATTGAGACCCGGGGCGGGGGCGGGGCAGAGGGGGGTGGTGCGGGGCCCGGTACCTGGGGGTAGCCGCAGTCACACTGCTCCCCTTGCTCCACAAACCCGTTCCCACACACGGGGCCGCCCACCAGGCGGTCGGGGTCCGGGGCATTCTCGATGCAGGTGATATGGGGCTTCTCCACGAATGTCTCCAGGTCGGCCTGGCTGCAGTGGCTGAACATTTTGGGGAACGTGGAGCTGTGGGGAGAGGGGTGGCTCAGGGGGAGGTGGGCAGTGAGTGGGCAGGCCGCCTGCGCCTCAGGACCGGGGTGGGCCTCACCCGATGCTGCCTGCCATGATGCAGCCGCCGCGGGTGCGAGGCTCGGGGCAGTAGCAGCCCTGGACGTTCTCATCGTGGTCCATGCCCAGGTTGTGACCCATCTCGTGGGCCATGGTGGACGCCACGCCGATTGGGTTCGCGCTGTGGTCCTGCAGAGAGAGGCTGCGCTGGACGGTGCCCACTGGGCCCAGACACCTTCCTGCCGGCCCTGCTGCCCCGAGCAAGGCTGGCATCACTTCCTGCGAACGCTTCTTAAAACGTAAAGCGCCGCCCGGCGACTCCGCTGGCTGGAGCGTTCTCCCGCGCACCGAAGAGCTGCGGGTTTGGTTCCCAGTCAGGGCACGCACCCAGGCTTTGGGTCCGATCCTCAGTCGGGGTGCTGGGGATCAATGTTTCTCTCTCCCCTTTCCTCCCTCTATAAATACTGATGAAAAACAACATATCCTGGGGTGAGGATTTTAAAAAACACCAAGCACCCTCTTGGAGAGGCAGCCGGTCAGGGGTTCACGGGGACAGACTGCAGACCGGCAGGTGGACTGAGCCCCGAGCTCACGCTCCAAGCCCACATTTCAGCTCACGCTCCAAGCCTGGCTCCCCCCTCCCCCCCCCACAGCCCACCGGCCCCCTCCGCACCTGGTTCACAGCGCCTGAGTGCTGGGAGCACATGGCAGACACCCTGGCCAGTCCCACCGTGGTCCCCTCGAAGTCGATGCCCCTGCGAGCAAGAGAAGTGTCCGCGGGCGGGCTCCCCTGCGCGCCGCCGCGGTCCCACAGCCCCTCGCTGGCCACGGCTGTCCTCCCTGCCCGCCGCCTGCCGCCCACTCACGTGATGAGCTGGACGTTGTCATGGGGGTGCCGGCCCACCAGGTTCTGCGCCCGCCAGGTCAGGAAGTTGTCCAGCGTGATGCTGGGGTCGGAGCTGACCTGAATCTTGTCCCCGTAGTTCCAGATGTCCAGGCCCACCAGCACCACGCGGAACTTGAGTTCCTGATACAGCTGCGGGGAGACAGGGTCCCACGGGTCAGGGGCCGCCCACGCCGCCCTCCAGGGGCTCCTCCTCTTCGACAACCAGGGTTCTGGCAGGCTGGGTGGCATCTGGTCCAGAACGGGCCTGTGTTGCTTTGGGTCCTGGAAGCCCCTGCTGGGGGAGGAGCCCCTGGGAGACCCCACTCCCGCCCCTCCCCCCACCACCACGCACCCCCTTCGTAGAAACAGCCAGCACCTTGTCCACGTGGTTCACCACCTCCAGCACCCGCCTGCGCACAGCCTCTCTGCTCCCCAGCTTCTGGAACTGATGACACAGACCCTCAGCCAGCAGCCCACGGGCGGCCCGCCCCCCCCGCCCCGCCCACGCCCCTGCCCAGGGCACCTCGCTGCTGTCCACCACCACATAGAGCTCCACATAGCGGGTCTTCCGGGACATCGGCCCGTTCTGCAAAACAGCAGCGAGAAGCCGGTCAGCGGCCCCCCTCACCTCGGCCCCGCCTTCACACGGACCACGTCCAGGACCCCTGCTCAGTGCCGGGGGACCGGGCTAGGAGGTGCCAGCACGGACTATGGAGCCGTCTCCACGGCTGCCGGGCAGGCAGGCCCCCTGGCCGTCCGGATGGCGGGCAGTGCCCTCATTCGCTGGCCTGGTGGTGGGAGTCTGGGGGACGTGCAGGCCCGGGAGTCTGGGGGGCGCGCAGGCCCAGGAGGGCAGGGACGAAGCTGGGCGGGGCCTGCTCACCCGGGGCCTGAAGGCGGCCAAGGTCCGAGGGCCCAGCATGCTCTCCAGGCTGGTGTTGCTGACCCCGCAGGTCCCCGCCTTCTGCCGCAGGTGCTGTGCCCTGTAGAGGGCGTGCCGCCCCTCCTCCCCGCCGCCGCCCAGCGGCTCGATCAGGTGCACCGCCGAGCCCGCCTGGAAGAAGCCCCTGTGGGCAGAGGGGAGCAGGAGGCTCCCGTCAGTGCCCGCCCCCGGCATGCTGCCCAGGGAGGGACAGAAGCCTGAAGGACAAGAGGCCCCCCGTTGGCCCTGGGGCATGCAGGCGGACAGTGTCCAGGCCCAGGGGGAGCCCTGCAGGTGGGGAACCTGTCGTCGTAAACAGAGCCCAGACGCCCAGGTGCACAAAGGTGTCCCCGAGTCTGGCCCTGGCCCTGGCCCCTCTATTCTCAGCCTCAGTTCACTTCCCTGGAGGGTAAGGCGTGTGCTGGGGCCCTGACATGCTGACCCACGGCGCCCAGATCCGGAGCACCCACCTGAGGCCATCACAGGTGCTGAGGCTGGCAGCGGAGAGAGGGTGCCCTTCCACGTGGCCCTGGTAGAAGCAGTGGTCCTGCAGGAGGCGGGCATGAGGGCTCTGCAGGACCCACCCCGGAGCCCCCAGCCACCCTGGGGAGGCCGCCAGGCCGTACCTGCCTCTGCAGCGGCTCGGTCACCTGGGAGCCGTTGGCAGCCGTGAAGGTCTCCGTGCAGCCCGAGCCCACCAGGTCCCTAGGAGAGAAGCCCTGTCGCTCACTGGCCCCTCCTGCCGCCCTGGAGGGGCAATGCCAGGGAGGGTGCCCGGGACACAGGGGCGCTGGGCGGGCCGGGGGCCCCGCTCACCTGTTCTTCCGAAGGTGCAGGGTGAAGGTGTCCCCTGGGGCACCGAGCACGTAGCTCACGCTCTCTGGGTACAGGCCCTGAGCCGGCAAACAGGAGGGGTCTAAGGTGGGGGCCTTGTCTCAGGCTGCGCCCATCTCAAACCTGGGGCAGGGGTGGTGGGGGGAAGCTCAGAGGACAGGGATGCAGCCCAAGGCCAGCGCCCCCAGCCCGAAAGCCCTTCAGAGGACCCTAGAGGTCCTGCCAGGCCTCGGGCCTCAGTTTCCCCATCTGTCCACACAAGGTCAATGACAATAATGCCCTTTCCCCAGAAAGCAAGGGGAGGGGAGATGTAGCCCTACGGGCAGCTGTGGGTGGGACAGCCCCTCCAGCCCCTCCCACCCCCACCCCAACCCCATACTCTCAGGGAACAAAGACCCTCCGCTCCTTGTCAGGGACCGCATGCACCTGACCCTCAGGGTGGGGTGAGGGTCCAGGGGGCTTAGTGTCCTTCCCAGACACCAAAGACAGGACAGGGCTACCCCCACTACACAGGCAGGCACATCCAGTTCACACACACACACACACACACACACACACACACACACTGCACACCCCACATGGGTCCCAGGAATGACCCCGGGCAGCTCTGGGTATCTGAGCTCAGGCCAAAGCCCCTAGGAAAAGGGCGACCACACACGGCAACAGGCTCCGGGGAGCCAGCCACCCCGCTAGTCTGAGGAGGAATTTGACTTGTCACCGCTGATCGAAACTGGGGAGTGCCCACAGGGAGAGGCAGGGTGCCGGGAGGTGGGGCCTGGAGGACAGCCAAGCCAAGCACCAAGGACGTCACTCACCCTTTCCGGGTACAGGTCCCAAACCAAGAAAACAGGGGGTCCCGGATGCGGAACCCAGGTGGGCAGTGAGCCCCCTCAGGGCGCTGCCCCAAAGCCCTCAGCCCCCAGGCTGGACCCTCACAACCGGCTGGCACACACAGGAGCTACCATCTTCTAACTGGGCACTGTGGGAGCAGACAGGGACCCCCCGAAACCACCACCACCAGGCCATTTTCCGGCCAAGACTCACCTCGCCGGAGGGCAGGGCCCGGCGGGCACGAGGACCCGGCAGGCGCTGGGGCCTCACCACCTCGTACTGCTCCACATGGGGCAAGGGGGGGCTGGGGGCTGCCACTGCGGGAAAGAGAGATGTCGGCAGGTGCGCAGGGCACCCATCCTCCTGCCGGGGAGGCCCCTTCCTGGTGAGTCAGGGTGGGGACCGGACCTGCACCTGGCATTGGGAAGACAACAGCACCCCAGCAGGTGGGGCCAGGCAGACCCTGTCCCGAGGCAGCCTACAAGTAACCGAGGAGCTGCGTCTAACGGGGAAGCTGACCCGCCTCCCAGGCTCCAGAAGCTCCCACACAGGCAGCAGGCCACACAAGACCCCGTCCCTTCCCTTTTAAGGTATTAACATCCAAAATCAGGGACCAAATCTTGTGACCGTTATCTTGCAAACCTCCAGGCTCAAGAGGCCCCAGGGCGCCCAACTCAGTCCTGCGGCCCCAGCCACGCTCTTGGTTGCCTCCAGGGGGCGGATGGGACACCACAGAATCCAGACAGGAGGTCCGGGGAGCCAGTTAGGGGCCAGAGCCAGCAGTATGCTTGGTTCTCCCCAAATGGGTTAGGGGGGGGTAGGCCCCCATGTGGCTAGACCTCCCCACTCTCAGCTCAAGGCCACTCACTGCTCCTCAGTCCTACCTTCCTTCCTGGGGTGGGGGTCCGAGTAGGGATGGGCAATCACTGCTCTGTCCCGGCCCCAGTTCCCACTAGGAGCCCAGCAATGACCGAGGCACAGGTTTCCCTCAGTTCCCTTTTTAAGGCCCGTCTGTCCCCTCCTAGCGGGACCAGCGCAAAGCACAGACCGGGTACAGGTCAGGCGACCAGCCTCGGGCGGGGGAGAGCAGCTCCCTCCACCTGGCCAGCGCCCACATCCAGCACTCACCCTGCAGCCACCACGTGCTGAGCAGCCAGAGCCCGAGGTGGAGCATGGCCGAGGTGTGCATCGGAACTCAGGGGTCCGGGAGTGCGGGTGGAGGGCTGGGATCCGGAGGAGGGGAGGGTGGTGGAGTGAGGATGGGGATCCGGTGGCCTGAATGGAGATCCGGGGGTCTGGGGTCCAAGGGCACAGATGGGGGGTCCAGGGGCCAGCAGGCGCAAACAGGACGTGGGGATCCAGGTCCACAGTCGGCGGTGTGTACAGGATGTGGCTCCGCGATCAATGGGGCACGTCTGGCCCCAGCGCTGGGCCTGGAGGCTCTCCCAGGAGGCCCGCCCCGGACCAGCCCTTACCCACTAGGCCCCGCCCCCCGGATGCTGGGAGGGGCGGGGTCTGGGCACTTTGGTCAGGGTGCCCCTCCCCTCCCTTTCATCCTTCCTGCCCCATGCTCTGGTGTTCTTGTGGCTACTGCTGGTCCCCTGGGGGCTCCTGGATGGTGCCCGCTGTCCAGCACGTGGAAAAGCTTCATAAATGTGGACGGAATTAAGGGAGGGGAGGCAAACAGCCTGGGCCTTGGTGGGGGAAGTGGCGTGTGAAAGGCTGTCTCTGGTGGGTGCGTCTGAAGGTGGGGGATACCCTGATTTCCTGGGGAACAGAAAGCTTCTGCAGCAGCATGGGAACCACCCAGTGGGGAAGGGAGCACCTGGGTGCCATCCACTTCACCTTCACAGACCCTGTTCTTTGCAGAGGCCACTTCCGGGTGGGCCTGTCCATGGGGGTCACCCAGCCTTGCTCTAGGGGTCGCCAAATAGCAGCAGAGGCAGCTTGCCCATTGGCCTCCCCTTGGTTTCTGCCCTCCCTGTCCTGCTGGATGGCCTGACACGGAGGCTGAGGGGTCCAGGCCTCCTGCAGCTGAGCCAAGTGCATTTGCCCACATTCCAGACATGCCCCCTGAGATGCTGGGGTGAGAGTATGTCAGGGACTCAGGTGGTGGTGGTGTCCACAGGTGGTTCCAGACCAGAGGTTCGAGTTCAATGGACCATTATTTCCCCCCGAGGCAATGGCATCAAAGGAAAGGCAGAGGGGCTGGCCCAGACTTTGGGGGGATCTTGGACAGAGGTGCCAGGGAAGCCCTGGCCACAGCAGCAGTGTGGGCACAGCGACCAGGCCTGGACAGAGTGGGCCCCTGCGGAGGCCGGTGGGGACCGTCCCTGTGCTTACTCATGACTGTTCACTGGTAAATGCCGTGTGAACCGCAAGCCCCCCCGTGGTTTTACTTCTGTTCCTTCGTCACATATTCCAAGTTGTTTCACAGAAAGTTTGTCTGCCGTGACCATGAGGTTTTCCAGCGAGCTGACTAGACGCCTGTGCGCAGCTCACTGGCAGGGACCTCGCAGCAGCAGCCAGGACCCATGAGGGCCCAGGGGCTCCTGTCACACAGGACCCTCCACCCACCCATAGGACGCATATAACTCTCCCCTCAACCAGCGGCAGGTGCTGCTGGGGTGCCACCACCTGCAGCCTGGAGGTGCAGCCCAGGACAGGGATAGGGTACCTGGGCTTCAGGGCTAGGCAGGTCTCTCACCGAGAGCCAGGGGGTTCCCCTGCTCAATCCCCAAGTTGCATAACACCACAACCAGCAACGGGGTTGGCAGATAAGCTTGTTTGCTCACAGATGGTATCTACGCAACCCGCAAAGAGGAACCGTTTGTGGCTTGCCTAGGCCTGCAGGGCAGCAGTCTAGGCCAAGCGCCACTCCCACCTTCACCTCAGGGACCTGTCTTTGTGCCCAGGCTGCTTCTAGTCTCATTCCTCCTCAGTTGCCAAGGACGCCACCTGGAGCAGGTGGTTCAAACTGAATTTCAAAAGTGACATGTGTGAGAGCCAGCAGAGTGGCACAGAGGTGTTCGTGAAAGCATCATCCTCAAGCTGGTGTGCCATCTACTGCCAAACGGGGGAGGTGGGAACAGCAAGGGCAGGTACTGCCAGATGGGGAAGCCAGGTCGGTGGAATGGGCCGCGGGCATGCCCACTCAGGGCTGTCCTGGGGGCAGTCGCCTCAACCACTGCCCCAGCCTGCATATCAGTGAAGGCAGCTCACAGCTCACCTACAGCACAAGGAGCTGCTGCCCCCTGGCGCCAGGAGCGAACCCAGCACATGGGTTTGAGGGACGTGCTCCACCAGGCACCTTGGCTATTAACCCTAATGTTGCTCAAATGCCTTTTTCTTTGAGACCAAAAAACAAAACCCCCTAAAGTGCCCCTGCTCTACTTGAGCAGCTCGCAGGTAAGCACTTCACCGGCCCGAGAAAGACAAGCTGAGCGGGGTAACATTCAGACTCCACACTGAAATGGTAACAGCGCACCAACATGTCCTTCAGGAACATTTATTAGAAACCCGAACTCATCTTCCGGCCCTCCTTCGTTGTGGTGGTGCAGGGCTCCGAGGGCCTCACTGGGCGGTGACGGCGACCCTGGGCGCTGGTGCTGGGGGCCCCCGCGGGATGGGCACTTGGGGGGCTGCCTTCTGGCTCCTCTCTGCAGACAAGCGCTCCAGGCGCTCCGTGTAGAAGCCGTTGAAGTCGAGCCTGAAGGGTGAGGGCAGAGCGGGAGCGTGTGGGCATTAGGCGGCAGGGACACCCTCCCATCCCAGCCCTCCACCGCCCCCCTCTCACTGCTCATTGACTCGGGGGGGACACTGCTGATGGGGGAAGATAGAGGGCTGAAGGGGGTCCTCCCTGGGTCCTGGCTCTGGGAGCACCACGGAGAGTGAGGCTGACCTAGGCCCGTGGACATGGACCGATGTTGGGGGCATTGCCGGGCGGCTTGGGGAATGCACACCAGGCGACAGATGCGTGCTGTCACCTCAGGGAGTGATGGGGGACCAGCAGCAGCGTAAAGAAGCCAAGGACAGACACCCTCAGGCCTGAGCAGAACTGGCCTCACGTTGTCCGTGGTGACCCAAGCAGGTGAAGGTGAGAAAGACGGCAGGGAGCCAGCGAGGGAACCTGGGGCTCGCAGTCCAGGGGGGCAGGGACAGTGCCCACGACAGGAAAGCTGCCTTCACCCACCTGGAGATGACACTGGCCATGCCGTGCTCGCAGTCGCTGGTACTGTAGATGCTCAGCCGGGCCAGGAGGTCAAGTAGATGGGCTGAAAAATTCTTATCGAACTTATTGATGGTGGCCTCGAAGCTGGAGGCCAGCTGCGGCGTGTCCACATGCTCAGCCAGGTGCTGGAAGACAGGAGCCCAGCTCGCCTTTACCTTCCTTTAAGTTCTTCCAGTAGAAGGATGGACTTCAGGGAGTGTCCAAGTGATAACAGGTATTGGTAGGGCACCGTAAAAGTTCCTGAGACCGCCCTAGCTGATCTGGCTCAGTGGATAGAGTATTGGCCTGTGGACTGAAGGGTCCCAGGTTCAATTCCAGTCAAGGGCACATGCCAAGGTTGTGGGCTCAATCTCCACTAGGGAGCGTGCAGGAAGCAGCCGATCAATGGTTCTCTATCATTGATGTTTCTCTCTCTCTCTCCCTCTCTCAAATCAATCTATATTAAAAAATAAAATAAAATAAAGTTCCTGGGACCACAGGATGGAGCCGCCCTGGGCAGTTGGGCCTCTCCCCCTGCCCACAGGGCACCAGGGTTTTCTCTGTGCAGCTCAGACTTCAGTATAGTCCATGCTCTCTCCTGCCCGTGAGGACGACGAAACAGGGACCACTGGAGCTGGCACCTGAACCCCTGAACACGCGCTCGCGCACGCGCATGCATACCCACATCCTGGAATCTGAGAGCGGCCTGACCTTCAGGTAAGTAAACTCTAACCTACGCTTGCTGAGCGCCAGGTTCTGCAGGGCAGCCCTACAGCCTGTTGTGCAGACAAGCTGGCCTCACTGGCGCTCAGCTGGGCTGGGGTTTGAGGGCGAGGGGATTTCTGTGGCTTGTGTTTGGAACCTAATTTTAAGATGGTTGTCTTTTAACCAAACAAAAGGCAGAAACGAAAGGGTAGTAGCAGGTTTTGTTTTTAAGTGTTAGAATCCTAACACTGTCCAATCTCTCAGGAAAATGGAGGACCCGCTGGACTAACCCCCGAGGCCACGCACCTTCCTGGCGAGCTCCTTCCGGGTGCGCTCCTCCGCCCGCTCAGCCTCGGTGGGCGGCCCCTGCATCGTGCCGTGTTCCAGAGTCAGGCGGCCCAGCTCGTCGTCCAATCGCATGCTCTGTGTAAACCTCTGGGGCCCCAAAAAACCTTTCATTACCACCTACTTGCTCCCATTGACCGCCCCCTCGCCCCTCTGCACACCGGACATCTGCAGACTTAAGGCTAGAGGGTGGGCCCTCAGGGAGGCTGCAGACGGGCCACACCATTTCCAGGCTTATGGGCCTATTTTTCTGGAAACACTTGCTTTCCATGGTGTTCTCCAGTTTGCAACCCAATATGGCTCCTAAATATCTAAGGAACCGAGTTCACCTACTCCTGACCTTTTGGTCATCAGCCATCCCATCGCAAGCTTACTCCACCTTCCCACTGGTTCAGATGTCCCAGGAGCCTTCAGCCCTGTGAAACCCCACGTCACCCCTTCTGCCTCCTGGCACTGTTCGGTACCACTGCTTTGGAGCCACTGCTTTGGACAGGCGCCCAATAAAAACGGAATCAGTAAGCTCTAACAAAAGGAAAGCCAGGTATTCAGAAACAGGCCAGGACAGAACCTGCAGCCGGGGTCCTGCGTATCAGTGGGGCTCAGGAAGGGCACTCAGGAGCACCTGCTGCCTGACGGACGGACGGACGGACGGAGAGGGACAGGGTGGGCAGGCCTGCGGCACGCACCTGCATGCAGTTAGTGAACATGACGCACACGGACATGAGCTTGGAGAAGACCTTGAGCAGCTCGGGGTTGGTGAGCATGCAGTCCTTCAGGCAGTTGTCCAGGAAGCTTGTGTGGTGGCCCAGCACATCGTCGATGTTGGAGGCCTGCGGGAGCACCCCGATTGTCGTGTGCCCGGGGCTTCAGCCCTGGCTTTGCGCACGTCTGTGTTAGTTCCACTTAAAAACTGG